TACACTCCTAACTAATCACCTCTCAGATTTCCCCAAACTCCACACTCTTATCTCCTTCTCCACTCTCCCACGCTACTCATACTCTCTCTCTCTCTGTCCCTGACTGACTCCCTCTCAGGCTCCACCTCTTATCACATCTCTCTCAGCTCTGCCTCTCAGCAAGATGAAGATACATGAACAATTAACATAACAAACATGAACCACTGACATAATAAAGGGGTACGCTACAGACCTCCCCCCTTAAATATGTTTGTTTGGGAGGGGAAACACGTTTTTTCATCCTAAACAAACAGACACACTTGCATTTAACTTTACTTATCATATAACACATTTAACATAACAATTACTATACCTTATACTCTAAACCAGGGGTGTCAAACTCAAATTCATTGGGGGCCGCATCAGCAGTTTGGTCCCCATCAAAGGGCCGGTTGTATCTGTGGCTCTGTCCCGCCCCCCCCGGCCTTATGTCTAGAATAGTGAGAATGCATGTGATTATGGTTCAGAAACACTAGATTTACTTAGTACATCCACATGGGTGCCCTGTTATAAAACAAAGGAGGTGAACAGGTGAAGTGTAATTCTTCTGGCCCCTTGCTCGTTGCCTACCTGAGCTAGATAAGCCAGGTTGTCAGCTTGAGAACTACAGTACTGCCTAACCCTTTTCGGGCAAGAAATGAAGAGGCCCTTGCCGAAGACATCACAAGTTCTGCAAAAATAAGTAATCTGTTTACCTGGCGAAAAGAAGTTTTGGGCAACCCTTCTTTTGGTTCGAGTGATCCCCATGTGAGCCCCAAACAAACTACTGTGAGCTTGATTTATGATGTTCTCCCTGTGTTTACTAGGAAACACTAATTGCTTTTGGGGTTCCCCCTTTCCTCTGTATGGGGTGGCTAACATTTCCCTATACAAAAGGTCTTTATGCCTGCAAGATCTCTCAGGGCATTTAGGAGACAGTTTAGTGGGCATTCTGACTGCTTAAAAGCAGTCCCCAAGCTAAAGTCTTCCTTCTGCTTCTGAGCAAAATTATTTTTATTGTGACTCTTCAGTAGTGTGAAATCAGCTTCAGCACTACTATTAAGCTGGGTATCCAAGGAAATCTCTCTCTCCAGGCTTCTCTCTGATACTGTATCAATCTCAGCTGCAGAAGATGAGGCTTGACCCCCCCCTTTGCACGTATAAGCACTAAATCACTCTTGACATGCACTATTAAATCCCAACCAAGTAGAAAAGCTGCTGGTATTTCATCTGAAATGGCTACCTGCCACTTTCCAGACTAATTCCTATAGCCTATTTGGATCTCAGCCACTTTTAACACCACAGCTTCTTTTCCAATCCCTTTTAGGGTCATTGTTCTGCCTGGAATTATGTCATCCTGGGCTATCAGAACAGAATGTACTATGGAAATTTGAGACCCTGTGTCCCTTATAGTGAAGTATTTCTTTCCTCCCACAACTATTTCTTCACCAGCGTTTCTGAGGAGGGTATTGTCATTTCTAATGTAAAAACAATGTACCACAGGGGCTTCAGGAATGTCCTGCTCCTCAAGATCAGTAGAAGCTGTGCTTGTCATGGAAACAGGTCTCTGGTTACTGCTTCCCTCAGCCGATCCCTCTTGTTTTAAAAATACACTTTTTTTGTTTGATTATCACTCTTCCCTGTACTAGGTTTATTTTGCACACACTGGAATTGTAAATGGCCTGGCTGTCCGCAGTTAAAACATTTATAATTCTTTCTCTCATTCTGAGGAGATCTGGAGAACTTTGACTCAGGGTTTATTGGCGAAGACGGACAAGGCCTTGGCAATTTAGGAGAAGTACTACCCTGGCCCTATCTTTCTGTTGTTTTGCTGATGTAATTTTTATTAAAGGGCTTCTTATTGTTGCCCCAGTTGGGTCTGTTAACTCTTAGCTCTGAGAATCTGGGGTTCCTGTACTCATTAATATAATCTGCCTGTTCACCAGCTTCTAGTAGATTTTTAGGATTTTTGTCCCTAACTAAATAACGCACTTCCCCAGGTAATATGGAGTAAAATTGTTCTAACCCAATCAAATTCTTCGTTTGTTCTAGGCAAGTGATCTCCTCCCTTTCCACCCACTTCTCAAGACATTGCAGCAATTTAGCTCCCAACTGTGAATACAATTCCTTCTGCCTTTTAGTAAGAATGTGAAATTTTTGCCTCAGGTGTTCAGCATTAATAAAAAACCTTGAACCAACCATCTTTTTATACACCTTAAAATCTCTGGCCTTCTCTAAGGGCATCTGTGAATATAACTCAGCCAAATCTCCACTTATTTGAGCTCTCAAAACAATCATCCTTTCATCATCTTGAATTTCAAAGTCCCAGCAGGTGCGCTCAAAAGCAATGAGAAAAGATTCGGGACAGTCCCCTCTTTTATATTGGGGAAATTTCTTAAGATCAATTTTTGAGAGAATTCCCCCTCCACTTCTAATTCTTGTTTTTCTTTCTCATGGACTGTTGCATATTTTGGGGTAGATTGGTTCTCTGTTGCCTTGCCTTTGCCTTTTTTTTCTTAGTAGCTTTTAAAGATTGCGTAAAGTTTTCAGAATAATAGAAAACATGAATGGGAAGCCCGAAGCAAAAGACCCAGAAGTTGGCTTTCCCTTTTGTGTTAAACAAAAAAATGGTACATGAAAAACATAAAAGAAAATGAAAAGGCACTTACAAAAACAACCCAAAATGGAAAAGACTTGGGAATTGTCACCATGCACATCCTTAAATCTTTCATTAAAAGATCAATATTCAAATAATTAAAAGTAGACATTTTACAAAGTAAACTTGCAGAAATAAATGGGGATTTTTTTTAGTTTAGTGCCATGGAAGGGCAGGAGA